CAGTGCTGATGCTGCAGTCGAACTGACGAGACGCTGTAGGCATGTTGCCGCTGCTATTGGTGACCTAAGATTTATCTATGGTGGTCTACGTGGTGGTAAGACGTCACAACAGAACACTCAATTTCTTTCCCTTTGTATGTAGTTCTAGACTTTAAGCTGACTAGTACCTTCTAGTATTGTACATCGTTTTGCATTCTGATGCCCAATATAATATAGGTCTGTCCTGATTTGCATTGTCGTAACACAATATTCGTCTACTCTGAGTTGTTTGTAGTAAATTGGTTGAGCCTTCCAAAGTGCTTGCATAACTTGAAACTATGGATAAAGTAGATTCATTTAGAGGAAAATGAAGACTCTTCTTACGTGAAGTTGATGTCTATGATGCTCAACAAGGACCTTTCCATGGATCTCTATGATCTCCTCTTTTTCTATTATGATTTCTTAGAATTTTTAGTTTTTTAGAAATATAAATGATCATGAGGCCAATTAATTTGCTTTGTTGGTATCTCTCATTATCCAATGCATTATTAATTAAAGGGTACAGACTCAGTGACATTTTTCTTGCAAGTAATTTTTTGATAAAATTATTGATGATTTTGTCCCTCACAAGTTGATGTGAAGTGCGTGGGTGTAGACACCCCATTTTTGACCGACCTTAAGACTCAGACGTCATCGTTTGTGCGCTCGATGATCGTGCATGTTTGTGCTCGTTTTGAGTGCCCGAAGTTCTCGGCTGAGTACCTTGTCTTTGAGCCTCTAAACCCTCTGTGTTTTGGGCTTGTTTTTGGACCAAACTTTGGTGCCTCTTGCCTAGAGGGGAGGAAGGGCCTTGTCGGCCACCTTTTCTCCCTTGTTGGGCATTGAAGTGGCCAGTCGGCTAGAGGAGGTGGCCGACGGCCATGTTTCTCCTTTTTCAGCCTTGTTGGCCACCTTTGGGCCCTTGTCGCCCACTTTTCTTCCTTGTCGGCCACTTGAAGTGGCCGGTCGACTAGGTGAGGTGGTCGGCCGGCCACCTAAAGTGGCCGAGGGCCAGCTGTTGATCACTGAAAGCATCGTATGGAGGGATGAAAGCAAGCTTTTAGCTTGCATTTCTATATAAGGGGAGGTCTCTCCCCCATTTTAAGGGTTCAGAAATTTTGGGAGCAAAAATTCTGCCCCTCTAGAATTATCTCTCTCTCTCTATCTCTTTATATATTTTGTGCTTGAAAGTGAGTTTTCTCTACATATTTGCAAAGAGACCCTTGATCAAATGTCCCTATCTTGGAGCTGAGGATCCTTACGGCTTGTTTGGAGCTCCTAAAGCTGGTTTTGGCTCAGAAAGTGTCTGTTTGGCTGCTGTGCTTCAAAGGTATAGGCTTAACCCCGTTTTAAGCTTATTTGTGCACACTTGTTTGGCCACCTTTGCATGCCGTTTTTGCCCAAGTTCTCAACTACAAAAACCTCTGTTTTTAAGGTTTAAAAATGGTGGTTTAAGGCCTTTTTGGAGTTAGGGGTGGTCTATCCTCTTTTGTAGCTTGTTTGCTAAAGTGTTGTGCCATCTTTCAAAGCCTTTTAAAGTAACTTTTTTTGGCCTTTAAACCACTGAATTCTAGGGGAATTTCAATGGTAAAAAGTGTGTTTTGAGGTCCAAAATAGGAGAGGGTGGTCTTCCCTCCTTGTGTCTTGTTTGCATGTGTAGATGGCTTAGCATGTGAGCATGTTTTTCTCCTCTTTTGTGACTTAATTCAAGCATGTTTTTGCCACTGATTTGGCATGCTTTGGCTCTGTTTTGAGCCTCCTTGGTCATGTGTGCCATGTTTTGTATAGCTATAGTACAAATGGACTTCACTAGCTTTGTGTTTCAAGGCCTCTAGCATGTGTTGCATGTGTTGATTGCATGTTATAGCACCATTTTACATGTGATTTCAGTGTTTATAACTCTATCACACTCTCATGTATTTTACTCTTTCATTGTGTTCGAGAGTTGTGCTTTGAGCCTCATTTGCAAGCCAACACATGAGCATGTTTTTCTTGCCATTTATGCTTTAATTTCATCATGTTTAAGCCACTGTTTTGGCATTTTTAAGCTCTGTCCAGAGCTGGTTTGGTCATTTGAGCTTGATATTGCATGCATCTAGTGTAGTGCTCTTCACTAGTTTAATACTCTTGGCTTTTAAACATGTTGTACATGAGTTGTTTGCATGTTTTTGCATCATTTTTCATGCCATTTCAGCACTGATTTTACATGTGATTTCAGTGTTTATAACTCTATCACACTCTCATGTATTTCACTCTTTCATTGTGTTCGAGAGTTGTGCTTTGAGCCTCATTTGCAAGCCAACACATGAGCATGTTTTTCTTGCCATTTATGCTTTAGTTTCAGCATGTTTAAGCCACTATTTTGGCATTTTTAAGCTCTGTCCCGAGCTGGTTTGGTCATTTGAGCTTGATATTGCATGCATCTAGTGTAGTGCTCTTCACTAGTTTAATACTCTTGGCTTTTAAACATGTTGTACATGAGTTGTTTGCATGTTTTTGCATCATTTTTCATGCCATTTCAGCACTGAAATTCTGCAACCCTCCCCCCCTCCTCTCTTCTTCACCTTTTCAATTTGCTTTGAAAGTGGTCTTGAGCCCCTTGTTGGCTTGAGTGTGAATTTGAGGCTTTCATGCCTAATGACTTTAATCCTCTCTTGAGGGTTTCTACTAGCCAACAGCATGAGACCTCTTTCATACTCAAAACACTTGTGGCTTAGGCCATCTTTCTAATTAGAGGACAATCACATTGAACTTAATCGGTTAAAGGACTAATCGGTAATGTAAAATTTGTAAACAAGAATTGGACAAGTAAAATTTGGCCAAGATAAGCATATTATCTTGCATTACATGTGTTCAATCAGACGTTATATTGAACACAAGGTAGATTGGTCCATTTCATACTCAAAGTGATGAAATGAGCCAATCTCCGTTGTCTCCATCACCCTTGATCATGCATGATAGGGTGGTGGTCCTTAGAGTCTTGATTGTGCATTCATTAACATTGTACAAGCTTGGCCCTTTGGCCATCATGCATGAAAATACTTGGTTGATGGCTTAAGAGCCAAGTGTCACACTCCTTTGAGCCTGAGAAATGATAAGAAGGGTGACAGTACACACATTTCCTTACAAATGCATTGTTTTGCCTCTGTTACCCTCTGTTGCAGCAAAAAACAGAAGCCTGGAAAAATAGGTGGCCGACCGACCACTTGCACTAGTCGGCCGGCCAGGTGAGGCAGCCGACAGGCCACCAGTGCAAAGGTTGTTCAATGTGTTCATGTGTTGGTGCAGAGGCAATCTGGAAGTTTGTGTGGTGTTCGGAGATCACAACAAGTGCAAACAGAGGCATTCGGTGGCAAGGCGATGGATTTTCGGGGGGACGCCAACTGAGCATGCATGTCTCCCTCGCCTGCGAGGCCATTTAATTGCTTTAATTAGTTAGAGTAGCTAATTATTCAATTTCTTTTGTAATATCTTAATTGGCTTAGCTTAGCATAGCTAGTTATTCAATTTGGTTTGTAATGATTAATTAGCTAGAATAGTTAATTAGTTGTGTTGTAATAATTAGCTTAGCTTAGTGTAGCTTAACTTAATTATTCGGACCCTCCTTCGAGAGGGCGCAATGTTGTAATAAGTGTGCGTGTGTGTGCGTATCTTCCAACCCCACGTCTTTCTCCCTTTTATTTATCCGCTTTCGATGGTTAGATTAGGGATCACATTTTGATTAGCATACCTTATGCTTGCATGTTTGCATCCATTCATTTGTATTGCATTCACCAGGCTCGGCTCATCATTCAAACTGCATCGTATTTCAATACTTCTTTGAATACGTGTCTCACAACATGTTATCAAATTATTGCATTCATATGCCATCTTAGATAGCCGAGCCTATTTAATTGCATTATTGCATGCGTTGCATTAGGCATTTTGTATAGTTAGGAATCATGCATTTTTCTAACTAGCTTTTGTTTTGGCTCGGAGTACACTGTAAGTTTTACGCTTTAGCATATTGCATGAGTGCCATATTGCCATGTTTTGCATGCTTGCCATGAGGTTATGCGCTTACTTGATTAGCTGCATGAATACCTGTGGGTGAAGACTTTGTTGCTTGAATTGGAACAATTCGATGATTGTGAGTTTTAAGCCCACTTTGCGAAGTGGCAAATCATATTTTAAGCCCATCATATTTGATGGCAAATCTGCGCCTTAGCCCACTTAAGGGGTGGCACTTTTAAACTATTTTCGAAAACAAACATGAGTCAATTTGTTCCAAGTCTCACGACTTAGTCTATACTTGTATGCGTGCGCGCCACATAGTAATGTTAGCTAAATAACCAGAATAAGAACATGTGTGTTTATAAAACAATATATCATGCTTAGTAGAGGCCGATCCTTTGGTCGGGCGAGTGGGGGTGCTCGTTTCAGGACCTTCCCCTCTCGTACCTAAGTTCCCGAGTCAAAACAACTTTGTTGATGACAGACACATGGCCTTTGGCACGAGTCATGGTTTTTTAAATTTCCCAAAAACAAAATATTTAGGTGGCGACTCTGTAATATGGCAAATTAGTCCAGTTTTGGCATTATTTGATTCAAATTTTGATTTTTCCAAAATGATTTGCCAGATTAGACTCTTTGCTGTTTATCAGTCTCACATTGCACTTTGTGAGATTAGATTCAAAACTGTGACAGGAGTCCGAACTGTAGGACCGATTCGAACTCTCCGAAAGGGGGCGCGAAGTAAGTCGAGTCTACAGTTTCTGGCGACTCTGCTGGGGATTTAAAGAACTTGACTCGAACTCATGATATGTTGTGTTATTTACGGTCCTGTCATTACATATTCCTTGGCAAGATAAAATTATAAGATGCTAAATGTCCTCAATTGGCTAAACATATAACCAAGGACATTGAACAAACTAGGGCAGCCTAGTTGGATGGAACCCTTGGTGATTGTGTCAAAAAAAAAAAAAACAAGGACATTGATTGGCTAAACATATAATCAAGGACATTGAACAAACTGGGGCAGCCTAGTTGGATGGAACCCTTGGTGATTGTGTCAAAAAAAAACAAACAAGGACATTGATCACACGTACTTTTACCTATTTGTGCTGTCAACTTTTTAAATGCTTCCAGGTTGCATTCCTTTCCACTCTATCCCTCACAAATGGACATCATAAAACGCAATCCAGCTAGAGAAGATTGGTGGGCAGGATCTGCTCCTTCAGGGCCTTTTATTTATACACCATTCAGCAAAGGAGAGCCAAATCATAGCAGTAAGCATGAGCTGATTTGGGTTGTTGGAGAACCAGTCCAGGTGTTAGTGGAATTGGCAAATCCTTGTAGGTTTGACTTAATGGTTGATAGCATCTATCTGTCAGTGCATTCCGGAAACTTCGATTCTTTTCCAATTAGTGTAAATCTCCCAACTAATTCTTCGAAAGTGATCACGTTGTCAGGAATACCAACTAAAATGGGGCCAGTGACAATTCCTGGATGCATAGTTCATTGTTTTGGTGTAATTACTGAACACCTTTTTAAGGATGTTGATAACTTGCTCCTTGGAGCAGCACAAGGTCTTGTTCTTTCTGACCCTTTCCGCTGTTGTGGGTCTGCAAAGTTGAAAAATGTATCAGTTCCAAATATTTCTGTTAGGTTTTATTATTGGCAACCCCGTTTGACAAAACTCCTTTCAGTTGTATTTGTTTTCGCACTTTTATTTCAGTGAGGCTATGAGTTTATTAGATGCGAATCCAACCTAAATTGTGCCTTGCAGAGAAGTTTTTGATGTTAATGCTTTCAAGATTACCACTTCACTGATTATGACGGGGGTCGAGGAACCCAGTCAGCTCGCGGGGGTCCAGGGGGTAGCGCCACGGCGGGGTCGAGGGGCAGCGCCCCCGAAGCGAAATGCAAAAATGCATTCCAAGTTTCCTGTCCGCTCGAGCGGACATTACCCCGCTCGAGCGGAGAATCCCTGATTCCAGAAGTTTTGGTCGCCTGTAAAAGTACTGAGCTGTGTGATTTCGCGCTCGAGCGGGTTCTCTAGCGCTCGAGCGGACCTCTGTTTTGTCACACGCTGTATAGCTATAGTACAAATGGACTTCACTAGCTTTGTGTTTCAAGGCCTCTAGCATGTGTTGCATGTGTTGATTGCATGTTATAGCATCATTTTACATGTGATTTCAGTGTTTATAACTCTATCACACTCTCATGTATTTCACTCTTTCATTGTGTTCGAGAGTTGTGCTTTGAGCCTCATTTGCAAGCCAACACATGAGCATGTTTTTCTTGCCATTTATGCTTTAGTTTCAGCATGTTTAAGCCACTATTTTGGCATTTTTAAGCTCTGTCCCGAGCTGGTTTGGTCATTTGAGCTTGATATTGCATGCATCTAGTGTAGTGCTCTTCACTAGTTTAATACTCTTGGCTTTTAAACATGTTGTACATGAGTTGTTTGCATGTTTTTGCATCATTTTTCATGCCATTTCAGCACTGAAATTCTGCAACCCTCCCCCCCTCCTCTCTTCTTCACCTTTTCAATTTGCTTTGAAAGTGGTCTTGAGCCCCTTGTTGGCTTGAGTGTGAATTTGAGGCTTTCATGCCTAATGACTTTAATCCTCTCTTGAGGGTTTCTACTAGCCAACAGCATGAGACCTCTTTCATACTCAAAACACTTGTGGCTTAGGCCATCTTTCTAATTAGAGGACAATCACATTGAACTTAATCGGTTAAAGGACTAATCGGTAATGTAAAATGTGTAAACAAGAATTGGACAAGTAAAATTTGGCCAAGATAAGCATATTATCTTGCATTACATGTGTTCAATTAGACGTTATATTGAACACAAGGTAGATTGGTCCATTTCATACTCAAAGTGATGAAATGAGCCAATCTCCGTTGGCTCCATCACCCTTGATCATACATGATAAGGTGGTGGTCTTTAGAGTCTTGATTGTGCATTCATTAACATTGTACAAGCTTGGCCCTTTGGCCATCATGCATGAAAATACTTGGTTGATGGCTTGAGAGCCAAGTGTCACACTCCTTTGAGCCTGAGAAATGATAAGGAGGGTGACAGTACACACATTTCCTTACAAATGCATTGTTTTACCTCTGTTGCCCTCTGTTGCAGCAAAAAACAGAAGCTTGGAAAAATAGGTGGCCGACCGAACACTTGCACTAGCCGGCCGGCCAGGTGAGGTAGCCGACAGGCCACCAGTGCAAAGGTTGTTCAATGTGTTCATGTGTTGGTACAGAGGCAATCTGGAAGTTTGTGTGGTGTTCGGAGATCATAACAAGTGCAAACAGAGGCAACCGGTGGCAAGGCGATGGATTTTCGGGGGGACGCCAACTGAGCATGCATGTCTCCCTCGCCTGCGAGGCCATTTAATTGCTTTAATTAGTTAGAGTAGCTAATTATTCAATTTCTTTTGTAATATCTTAATTAGCTTAGCTTAGCGTAGCTAGTTATTCAATTTGGTTTGTAATGATTAATTAGCTAGAATAGTTAATTAGTTGTGTTATAATAATTAGCTTAGCTTAGTGTAGCTTAGCTTAATTATTCGGACCCTCCTTCGAGAGGGCGCAATGTTGTAATAAGTGTGCGTGTGTGTGCATGTCTTCCAACCCCACGTCTTTCTCCCTTTTATTTATCCGCTTTCGATGGTTAGATTAGGGATCACATTTTGATTAGCATACCTTATGCTTGCATGTTTGCATCCATTCATTTGTATTGCATTCACCAGGCTCGGCGCATCATTCAAACTGCATCGTATTTCAATACTTCTTTAAATACGTGTCTCACAGCATGTTATCAAATTATTGCATTCATATGCCATCTTAGATAGCCAAGCCTATTTAATTGCATTATTGCATGCGTTGCATTAGGCATTTTGTATAGTTAGGAATCATGCATTTTTCTAACTAGCTTTTGTTTTGGCTCGGAGTACACTGTAAGTTTTACGCTTTAGCATATTGCATGAGTGCCATATTGCCATGTTTTGCATGCTTGCCATGAGGTTATGCGCTTACTTGATTAGCTGCATGAATGCCTGTGGGTGAAGACTTTGTTGCTTGAATTGGAACAATTCGATGATTGTGAGTTTTAAGCCCACTTTGCGAAGTGGCAAATCATGTTTTAAGCCCATCATATTTGATGGCAAATCTGCGCCTTAGCCCACTTAAGGGGTGGCACTTTTAAACTATTTTCGAAAACAAACATGAGTCAATTTGTTCCAAGTCTCACGACTTAGTCTATACTTGTATGCGTGCGCGCCACATAGTAATGTTAGCTAAATAACCAGAATAAGAACATGTGTGTTTATAAAACAACATATCATGCTTAGTAGAGGCCGATCCTTTGGTCGGGCGAGTGGGGGTGCTCGTTTCAGGACCTTCCCCTCTCATACCTAAGTTCCCGAGTCAAAACAACTTTGTTGATGACAGACACATGCCCTTTGGCACGAGTCAGGGTTTTTTAAATTTCCCAAAAATAAAATATTTAGGTGGCGACTCTGTAATATGGCAAATTAGTCCAGTTTTGGCATTATTTTATTCAAATTTTGATTTTTTCAAAATGATTTGCCAGATTAGACTCTTTGGTGTTTATCAGTCTCACATTGCACTTTGTGAGATTAGATTCAAAACTATGACAGGAGTCCGAACTGTAGGACCGATTCGAACTCTCCGAAAGGGGACGCGAAGTAAGTCGAGTCTACAGTTTCTGACGACTCTGCTGGGGATTTAAAGAACTTGACTCGAACTCTTGATATGTTGTGTTATTTACGATCCTGTTATTACATATTCCTTGGCAAGATAAAATTATAAGATGCTCAATGTCCTCAATTGGCTAAACATATAACCAAGGACATTGAACAAACTAGGGCAACTTTTTAAATGCTTCCAGGTTGCATTCCTTTCCACTCTATCCCTCACAAATGGACATCATAAACCGCAATCCAGATAGAGTTGAACAAAAAAAAAAATCATTGTTGGATCCCTCGTATACTTTTTCACATTTACTTTTCAAAGACTTTTACCTATTTGTGCTATCAACTTTTTAAATGCTTCCAGGTTGCATTCCTTTCCACTCTATCCCTCACAAATGGACATCATAAACCGCAATCCAGATAGAGTTGAACAAAAAAAAAAATCATTGTTGGATCCCTCGTATACTTTTTCACATTTACTTTTCAAAGACTTTTACCTATTTGTGCTATCAACTTTTTAAATGCTTCCAGGACATCATAAACCGCAATCCAGATAGAGTTGATTGGTCGGCAGGATCTGGTCCCTCAGGGCCTTTTATTTATACACCATTCAGCAAATGAGAGCCAAATCATAGCAGTAAGCATAAGCTAATTTGGGTTGTTGGAGAGCCAGTCCAGGGAATTGGCAAATCCTTGTAGGTTTGACTTAATGGTTGATAGCATCTATCTGTCAGTGCATTCCGGAAACTTCAATTCTTTTCCAATTAGTGTAAATCTCCCAACTAATTCTTCGAAAGTGATCACGTTGTCAGGAATACCAACTAAAATGGGGCCCACTACTAAAAAGCAGGGCTTTTGAGTCGGCAGCTTGCCGTCGCAAATAGCGGATTTGCCGACGCAAAAACTTTTTGCGACGGCGTTTCGACGGCAACTCAAGGGACGAAAATGGTGGGGTCGCAAAAAGTTTTTGAGTCGGCAATCTGCCGACGCAAAAAGTTTTAATTTTTTGAGACGGTAGATTGCCGACTCAAAAAGTGGTTAAATTGAGCAAGAATCAAGTTTTCTTCTGTGCTTATTACGGTCCTGTCATTACATATTCCTTGGCAAGATAAAGTTATAAGATGCTAAATGTCTTCAATTGGCTAAACATATAATCAAGGACATTGAACAAACTGGGGCAGCCTAGTTGGATGGAACCCTTGGTGATTGTGTCAAAAAAAAACAAACAAGGACATTGATCACACGTACTTTTACCTATTTGTGCTGTCAACTTTTTAAATGCTTCCAGGTTGCATTCCTTTCCACTCTATCCCTCACAAATGGACATCATAAAACGCAATCCAGCTAGAGAAGATTGGTGGGCAGGATCTGCTCCTTCAGGGCCTTTTATTTATACACCATTCAGCAAAGGAGAGCCAAATCATAGCAGTAAGCATGAGCTGATTTGGGTTGTTGGAGAACCAGTCCAGGTGTTAGTGGAATTGGCAAATCCTTGTGGGTTTGACTTAATGGTTGATAGCATCTATCTGTCAGTGCATTCCGGAAACTTCGATTCTTTTCCAATTAGTGTAAATCTCCCAACTAATTCTTCAAAAGTGATCACGTTGTCTGGAATTCCAACTAAAATGGGGCCAGTGACAATTCCTGGATGCATAGTTCATTGTTTTGGTGTAATTACTGAACACCTTTTTAAGGATGTTGATAACTTACTCCTTGGAGCAGCACAAGGTCTTGTTCTTTCTGACCCTTTCCGCTGCTGTGGGTCTGCAAAGTTGAAAAATGTATCAGTTCCAAGTATTTCTGTGGTACCCTCACTGCCATTGCTAGTGTCACTGCTAAAAAAATGACTTTTAACGGCGTTTTAAAAACGCCGCTATATGTCTGAAAAACGTCGCTAATTCCTTTAGCGACGTTTACCACCAAACGCCGAGGACGCGGCCGTCGCTGTAAGTTTATGACGCTTTAAAAACGTCGTAAAATTAGTATAGGCGGCATTTATAAAAACACCGCTAAATGTGGCAACCAACGGTAACATGACATCACACAGGCATTCAGCGACGCTTCAAAAACGTTGTAATAGCTTTTTTGTTATTTTAAAAATATAACTATAGTGGCATTTTGAAAAATGCCGCAATAGATTTTTTTTTTTTTTAAACTACTAATTTTGTAAGATTTAACTTTAAAAATATACCTGTAAAATAGCAATAATGAATAAAACTTTGTATAGACTACAACATCCTTCAAGAAAAAAATCTAATAAGTTCAATCCCAACATCATTCTACCTGTGTATGTTTTATCTTGGGCAAAAACATTAAATAGAGAGAGTATAATATCTACAGAAAAGCTCATCAACAACAATCCAGTAGAAATTAAAAGAAACAAATGCCAAAGGAATGAAATTACATCCCGCCAAATGCATTTAAATTGTTTATTGATGGAACATTTCTAGAACACATCAGAGGATTTACAAAGGACCCACAAATCTCTGTTGTGTTTTATACACAAGTGCATGAATCAATCACAAAAAGAAAAATAAAATAAAATATGTGATTTCTCAAATCAATGTCTTCAATTCGGAATGTTCACCATCTCAGCTTGGCTGGGAAATACTGCAAAAACGTTCACTAATTAAGAAGGGGGAAAAATCAAGATAAAAAAAGAAAAAATTCGAAAAATAGATGTGCATAGAAACTGGTCACGGAACTCATAAGATGCTCCTTGTGAGTGAACTGTTCTGTAAATGGTTTCTACACACTTAGTTTCCTGACTAGTGTAGTACTCACATTCTCAATAAGAGAAAGATAGTATGGCTTGACCTTCTCGACATCAATGCGCACTTTGCTCTTACTATAGAGGTCATATTTGTTGCATAAATTCGAGAAAGTTTATGCAAAACAGTAAACTTTGTTAGTTGTATTGGCATAACACACGAAATTAAAAACAAAATGCTAAAAAAAAGGGGTTACTTGAAAATTTTCAGCCACTTCAAATTCTCAACATCATCCGTATTCATCAAATGCGCGTATGCTCCTGACTTGTGTAATGCGGCAAGATGAATGATCCAGATGTGCAGGTTATTCATTAAAAACTAATTTTTGGAATTTGAAAAAAAAAATTGGCATAAATGCTTACGATAAAAAGAGTGGTATCAGATGATGAACAATGCAGCTGGAGGCAAAGTCGTTCCATGTTCCTTAACCACCTGAAAAATGAAAATCCAAATTACATTAACAACCCTGTTTTTATAGCATTAAAGATCAAAATTTGACTAAATACTTGAATATTTTCTAAAGGGGTGAAACTGAGGCACATACCAAATACATGTAATCGTCATGCCCCCACGATATCATTACATTATCTAGTCCACAACCTTCTAAGTAAATTCCATTCTTGGTGCTGTAAGTAGAATTTTTTGAATCCAAATTGTACTCGAAGTACTGCATAAATAGTATTTATTCAAGTTTGTTAAGAGTCAAATTATTAATTAAATAACTTCTTGTTAAGTTTGGGGTTGAAGAAGCACACCTTGTGATAAACAATCAATTCGTCGAAAGCACAACCAAGAGGGAAGGTGTCACCTGTAATGTCAATGTTAATTAGTAAACTTAAAAATTGTTTGCCAAGCTTAATCAGTTAAGAAATGAGCCCAACTTGTATATAAAGCTATCCAATACCCTCCCTCACATGCAACCCTATTTTGCTATGCTTGAGAAGCATCAACCAAATGTGCTTTTTGATTAAATTTTTGTCATGCGCTAACATTGTTCTCAGTCTAGTTTATTCTTTTATCATCACAAACATATTCATTACATATTATAGATTACATGCTTCCTGAATGTTCCTAGTGGAGTATAATTGTCAAATCTCAAAGGTGGCTCAGTGCTTCAAGAAACAAGAAATGAAAATAAAATGTCAGTACACAAACATACCTGTTGCATTTCCAATCAGTGAAATGTTACGGAAACCAATGGTGATTGCTATGTTGAAAAGCATCAATATCCAGTTGACATCTGGAATGTATACTTGCCCGTGTATCGTATCTGATGTATGGATAACTTTAACTCTAGGAAAGCAACCAAGTGCCAGGCACTGGTTTATAATGGAGAAACTGGCAGTAATTGTTGCTTGGCTTCCTACAGCTGAGGCAAATAGCGATAACACCCTGAAGATGTGGCGAATCGATCCTGAACTTGCCATTCCCATGACCATATGACATCAAGATGAGGGACCAACCCAACATGCAACCCTATTTTGCTATGCTTGAGAAGCATCAACCAAATGTGCTTTTTGATTAAATTTTTGTCATGCACTAACATTGTTCTCAGTCTAGTTTATTCTTTTATCATCACAAACTTATTCATTACATATTATAGATTACATGCTTCCTGAATGTTCCTAGGGGAGTATAATTGTCAAATCTCAAAGGTGGTTCAGTGCTTCAAGAAACAAGAAATGAAAATAAAATATGTCAGTACACAAACATACCTGTTGCATTTCCAATCAGTGAAATGTTACGGAAACCAATGGTGATTGCTATGTTGAAAAGCATCAACATCCAGTTGACATCTGGAATGTATACTTGCCCGTGTATCTTATCTGATGTATGGATAACTTTAACTCTAGGAAAGCAACCAAGTGCCAGGCACTGGTTTATAATGGAGAAACTGGCAGTAATTGTTGCTTGGCTTCCTACAGCTGAGGCAAATAGTGATAACACCCTGAAGATGTGGCGAATCGATCCTGAACTTGCCATTCCCATGACCATATGACATCAAGATGAGGGACCAACCCAAAAATAAAATATAAAGCAAGAAAACTACTTACTATTGGGTACAGATTCACTGAGAAGAAAAACATCCTTAGAAACACCCAAGTTCTTGGAGATAAAAGCTGCTTGACCAGCGTAACACAAAACAAGGGCTGGATATATTAGGCAGACAAAAGTAACCTGCAGCGAAGACATCATATGAAAATTCGTACTTAAAATTGAAAGACGGTGATGAATGTCCATTTTGATTACCGTGATAGATCTCTTCGAGAAATGACCTAGATCTGCAAACATTGCTTCTGATCCTACAAAATTACATTTTCATGAGAATTGGTCAGAACAAACAGATATTTCCAAAATATCTGCGTAATCAGAGACGACAAGAAACTAAACCAAGGAACGTGGATGTTACTACATACTAACCAACCTGCTGCACAAAGGAGAATACTGCCTAATAATCCCCAACTTCCAGGGCTAATTCTTCTCATGAATCTGTACATATATGTTGGAGAGATAGCATAGATGATTTGGGGGTCATAATGACAGATATTATATAGACTCACTCCACTGATGAGCAAGAGCCATAAAATGACAACTGGAGCAAACATAAAACCAATTTTATGGCTCCCATAGTGTTGCAGAGCGAAAAGGCAAATCAATATAACACATGCAGCAGGAACCGGTACATCTGAAACAAGTAGCATTCCAAGGGATGAGCAGGTCAGAAATAGAAAATCAGTCATAGAAATCTAAAATAAAAATCTTCAAGAAAAATGATGAAATAAAATCCAAGTTAAAACTTCCGTGTTACTCAGAAAATGAAATTCATCCACTGAGTTCAAACTTCAAGTTATTCAGTTCTGAAGCTCTATTTTTAGAAAATAAGAAAATACTACCAATAGATGAATACATCTTAAATACATATGTCCTCTGTTTTAATAGCAGAAGATTTGGGTAGGCACTGTGCACATTTTGTGATATAAAGTTGCTTTACTGAAGATCAGAGATCCATTGACAGAACAGAATAAAGAGTCATGAATGCTAAGTTGATGATAACACACCAAAAACATTTAGCATAAAAAATAAAAAGACTGAATGATGTAGCTTTGAATCACTGCAAGCATGAACACCGTCAGATGAAAAAGATTCCTTATTTGGAACTCAATTCTCTTACAACAGAGTATTTATTATGGATGAAAGCATGCTTGTACATCCCATCGAAATGAAATCATTTCAATACATTTTCTGTTGTATGTGAACGAAAACATCAAGTTAGTCCTTGCGTAGTCAATATGTCTCTGCAATTGATGGTAAAAACGAAATCCTACTGTTCCTTGAAATCTCAAGACTCATCCTGTTACTGCAACTATATTATGGATGAACCACATACATCCAATGGAAATGAAATCATTTCAATATATTTTCTGCTGTATGTAAAGGAAAACAGTAATTTTGTAGAATTTAGTCATAAATAGTCGATATGTCACTGCAAATAATGGTACAAGACCAAAAAAAATCCCACTATTCCTTGAAATCACAAAAGTTTTTCTGTTACTGCAACTATAGAGGTGATGGGGCAAGCCAGTTTAAACAAGAACGCCCATTCCAAATGATAGATAAACTTTCACTCACTGGAGTACCAACAGACATAATATTGGGTAATTGCCTTGATTTATTGAAATGGAAAAAATAACTTTAAAGAGATATGGTTTTAAAATTCCATAAAAAAACTGCTAATCATTTATCGTGATATGTTAATGATGAAAAAGATGATAAAATGTATAAGACTTTAATGCATGTTCATACACTAATCTCCAAATGCAATGCAAAATGTCAACTTCATTGTGACTATCTCTCATTCTTCGTGTAGGAGTGAAATTCACTGAAAATGCATGGAATAAAAGTTGAACCTCACCAAGGCTGAATGGAATTGGGAAGGTCTCGAGTGGGATTTGATCCCTAAAACTCAAGCATTTTGTGCAGCTCGAGTATGAAAATTTCTGCTGCCACACTGTTGGTCTTTACAACTTAGTTTAAACTAGAAAATATGAATTGAATTCTAATCTCGGTCCCAGAAAGATTAAATGGAGGGGGAAAACATATATTAACCAAACAAACTACTTATTCTACATTGTATATTGCCATATGTCAATTTCAGGTTACTTACTATGTTGGTCTCCACTGAATTGACAACCACTTTTAGTCCTTCAATTCTATTCAGTCCTTCTGAAAACCAAATTTATAAAAATGTAAAAGAGAAACATCAGCCAAAATAACACATGAATTTATGGGTCTACCACTGTATGTATATGATAATGTATTAAACAGGAGAAAAAATTTACGTGCTAGAAACTTAGCATTGTTGTGATCACTCTCGAGCTTTCCAACAATCTCTTGCACTGCAACTAAAGCAGCAGCACAAAGGACGCCAACTTGTCTCATTCCACCACCCAAGGTCTTCCTTAGAGTCTTTGCCTACAAAACCATTAAAAAAGAAGAAGAAGAAGAAGAAGAAGAAGAAGAAGAAGAAGAAGAAGAAGAAGAAGAAGAAGAAGAAGAAGAAGAAGAAGAAAAAGAAGAAAAAGAAGAAGAAGAAGAAAGAGAGTGAGAGAGATAGGAATCAAGTTTCTACAATGAGAGAAAAACAGAAATCTTAATTGTTGCAAAAATATCAGTAATACCCTAGTAATAAAATCTTTTGAACCAACAATGACAGTTCCAGCTGGAGCGCCCAATCCTTTTGATAGACATACCTGGATTACATAATGTGAAATAATGTAATATAACAAAATAGAGAAGATAACTTGTTCAATTATGTAATTTAATTTTCTTCATGCGAGCTTCAAATAAAAAAAATAGGTCCAACTAAGAACTAAGTTGTAAAAACACAACACCAAAATATATATATAACTTAGAATGTCAGTCACCATGTAACCCTACCGAAACTGAATCAGCAGCTTGCACAAGCCTATGAATGGGAATGCCAAGTGCCTGGAGAACAAATTTAATCAAGTTAAAAACTTGGGCATCCTTTCATAGATGTATTTATTAATAAATATAGTGAAGTACAAAACTCAAAATAATAATGGACGAATTATGAGTCTAACTCTCCCCTGAGTCACAAAAAATTATGTAAGTTTTGACACCAGATGGAAATGAAATTGTTCAAATTTAACTCAAACCATAATTGTAAAACACAAGCAGATAACATGAAACACAGTCGTATCAAATCTCACCAAGGCGGTAGTAGATTTATCTATGGAATGAGAATCACCTCCAATGACATAAAAAACAGAATGAACTACTTTCCCATTTTGAACTATCAATAGTGGTAAAACTGAATTTTGTTGACAAATTCTTTCACCATCACATTGAGCATCAAATGCCACCAAACAAATCTATTTTCATTCCATACTCATATACGAGCTGATGTTTTAGGGTCCCCTTATAAATCCTTTCTTACCTAATTCATGAATTGGTTTTCTAATGTACTATCTCAAATGAAATGTTTTAACTACACAATCAACGTAACAGGCATGCCAAAAAAACCAGTAGCTGAGCTTAAGCCTCTCATTGACTAAAACATTGTGAAACTTCCTCAACCCAAAAATCAATCGTGTTGTGTATTGCAGATCATGGTTTATACATTATTCTCTGGGCACCGTTATTGAAATAAAATCAGTCTAAAAAGGACCATTGTTATTATACATCCACAAATCTCATCCACTAATAGAACTCAAGAGACCAGTGCCTAAGCTGCTTGCTGCATTCATCCACTAACTATTCCTCAAAAAATTCATCCATTAGGCATAGATACCATCACCAAATCAACACCATGCCTTTTCACACAACTCAACTAACATTTTTGCTACACTTCTAAATATGCACTTGGAGTCAAATATTGTGAAAACCGAGTTGTCAAGTACAAATGTTACGACTCATAGATCTAAAGAGAGGGAGAGATCTAGAGAGAGAGAGAGGTGGAGCTCGCTACCTCGCCAGTTCGAAATCGCTCTGAACAGCCGATTGATATCGATCTGAATCTTCAAAATCGCTTTGAACAACCGATTGATATCGATCTGAATCTTCAAAATCGCTGTGAACAACCGATTGATATCGATCTGAATCTTCGAAATCGCTTTGAACAACCGATGGAGCTTGTGTTCTTTGAAGCTCTCTTCAAGAATAGCCGATTGATCTTTCGAGAGACGAAGCTTCTTCCTAGAGTACTCTCCTTCGTCTTCTTCGTCGCTGAGAGAGAGAAAGAGACAGAGAGAGAGAGATGTGTGCGTATAAGAAAGAGAAAGGGCTCAGATTTAAGAATAAGGGTTTCAAAAAGGGGCACATGTATGTACTGCATTCGGAGGTGTTTTTAAACGTCTTTAATTACAAAACGGTGCCGTTTTGGTTAAAAAAATATACGGCGGTTATAAAACGCCGTTAAAAATTGAAAAACGTGACGTTTAATTAAACGCCGTTAAATCCCTAATTTCCTGTAGTGTGTCACACGTTGTAGGTGGTGATGGAGCTGTCATTTAATATGAAGGTGAGATTCGTGATGTGTGGATTAGTCTGGCTAATGCTGGTACTGTTCCAGTTGAACAGTATATCACTATTAGGAAAAAACCAAGAGTCTGTTTTATCAGTCCCTTATGAAACTTTAAAAAGTTCATTTGAAACCTGGTGCGAAAGTGACAATGGCCCTGTTTGGTAGAGCTGTGGGAAAGTGCTTATAGCTTATGCCTAAACAGCTTATAGCTTATAACTTTCAGCTTAAGCTGATTTCCAGCTTATTCTTAAAGCATCTCCTGCCCCACTCAAAGAATAAGCTGTTTTCTGACTTCCACAAAGCTATAAGCTATAAGCTAAACCAAACACATCAAAATAGCTTAAATTAAGCTGAAAGCTGAAATAAGCTGAAATTAAGCTGTACCAAACAGGGCCAATACTAGTAACCTTAAAAGCGTGGCAGCTTGGTTTGGTTGACACTAATACTGCTAGCAAAAATTTATCTGGAAGCACAGGGAGGCCAGCTAAGGATGGAAGCAGGCCAATGTTGTTGATCCACTATGCAGGTAATTTTCCAACAACAGCTGTAATAGGAAAATAACTTTTGTTTATTATATTTTGTTAATATAATTTCTTTGCTCTTGCAATCTTGGTGTTTCTAAGTTTTTTCAGTTCCTAGTTTTAAGCAACAATTACATCAAATATATGGCTCTCTTCTGGGAGCAGCAACATTGTAATCTATGGTCTGGGTCTGGGTTTGAATTATGATGAGAATTTGCAAATCAGACTGAAGCCACATTCCAACATGCCCTATTGATGTTGCCCACATATTCAATGACGGATCCTGTTTTCTTAACCTTCTCCCAGAGTAAAATGAGAGTGCTTTAATCAAACTTCCCCACCCCTTTGTGGTACTTCTTTACTCTCATCTCAAGACCTATTTAACGATTCTGAGATTTGATGAATTTGATGCTTAGGATGTCATTTGGTCCAAATTTCTGGTTGAAGACACTATTTGGGTAAAAATGTTTGAACGCTTAATTGAAGTTCCTCTTTGTGTGTTTCTCTTGCATCTGTTATCATAGTATTTGCTTAATTTGAAGTTCCCCTTTTTCTCTTGTGATTGACTAATTCTGTGATATCCCACAAATCTATATTAATGATTCGTTATGGCTTTTGATACACTTTTCTACATAGACATTGAATTTGTTAAAAAGGCGTGTTCGTATTTGTAGACACCCCATTTTTGACCGCCCTTAAGACTTGGGCACTACTGATGGTTTACTCTGTGATAAAGGTGTGCAGGGCAAAGGTTCAGTTTCTTTGGCAAGGAGAGATTCAAATCTCAACTTCATACCCCTTTTGGACCAAAACAATCTTGATCGAAAGATTTTAGACCTTGAAACCCTCTCTTTCAAAATGTTTTGAAAATAAAGTTCCTACGATGTTCCGACGCTCGCATTTCGTTAAATGTTGCGCTTTTCGGTAAACCGAGCAAGGACGAAGTGGAAATGAATGAAAAAGAGTTGAAATCTTTGAAAAATCTTTCAAAACACCTTGTTTAGGGGTTTGGAGTTGAGGAAAATTAGAGAAGAGGGAAGAAACCAAGTTGAAGAAGAATGTGGGTTTGAATCGCTAAGAGAGAGAGTCGAGCGGTCCTTGCTAAATCACGCCTGTCTGTCTATACACTTGGATTTTAGCTATGAGGCCACCACCATTGGAAATCTTACTTCTGGGGCTTCATTTTGCACTCAAGAATCTCCTAAAGCCAAGTCCGGACGGGGGAGATATGGTTGGTTGAAGCAGGGCATCAATCCGGTTGGACCGAATCTGCGCGGCTTCACCAAAACATGCATAACTTTTTGCACAGTTGGAATTTTGATGCAAGGTTGGTGCCATTGGAAAGCTAACTTCTGGGGCTTCATTTTGGACACTAGCTGACCACTTTTTGGCCTTAGAGACCACCCTCCGACCACCTTTCTTTCTGGCCGACCACCTGACCCTTTTGACCTGGTCGGTCGACCAGGGCAAGTGGTCGACCGACCCCCTGAACTGGTCAGCCTGCCTCCTTCAGTTTTGTCTCTGTGAGTTGATTCCAGCTGTGCCAGCTGGAGGGCACAGACTGGATCCTCCATACACGTGTATGGAGGATGTTTGCCCTTGGTTTGAAGCTTCTTTGAGAAGCTTTAGACTTGTTTGTCTATAAAGGGAGACCTCCCCTTCCTTGTAGAGGGTTGAGATTTTGTTGGAAGGAAAATTATATATCTTTCTTTGTATCTCTCCCTTTGAGCCCTAAAGTGTGAAGTTCTTGACCCTTTTGCATACAACTCCATAGCCTAACCCTTCCACCATTGGTCTATGCTTCTTGGAGGCCATTTTCAGAGGTTAAAGGTTGAGTTTTGGTCCAAAGGTTGCTAGTCTTCTTGAGCTTCAAGGGTAACACTCATTCTCCCTTTTTAAGCTTTATTTTGCTCCATCTTTTCGCCATACTTGCAAGCATATTTGAGCTTTGTTGTTAACTGAAAAAAGTCTTATTTTGAGGTTCTTAACATGTTTGTTTAAGACCATTTTTCTGTTGGGGGTCGTCTACCCCCTTGCATGCTTCATTTCACTTTGTTTTGAGCCATGCCTTAGAGCATTTGTGTTGGCCTTTGTTTGGCCTTTTAGCCACTGAAATCCAGTGGATTTTCAGTGGCTAGCATGCTATTTTTAGCACCAAAATCAGAGAGGGGTGACCCTCTCACCCCTTGTCTTGTTTACTAGCATATTTGGTCTAACAAAGGAGCCCTTATTTGCATGCTTCCAAGCCATATTTCAGGCCATTTTTGGTGGGTTTTAGGACCTGCATAGGCTCTATCCAGAGCCCATTTTGCCATTTTGGGTGTCCATCTTGCATGTGTAGAACAACCCTCTTTATAGCCTATCAAGGGAGCCTATCATTCTTGCATGCCTAGACCATGTTTCAGTGGGTTTTTGGGCTTTATTTGGCATGTCATACCTCTGAATTTTTCTGGTTTCGTGGCCTCTTGAATGCCTCATATACTTGCAATGTAAACCCTCTTCACTAGCTTGTATTACATACTATTTTAGCCTTTGATTCTAGCACTTTTTGGCCATGCTCTAAACTGATTTTGTGCATGTTTTGGACTGCCTTAGCTCTGTTTTTATGCCTCATGGTCGATTGATGCTTGCTGTGCATGGTTGTAGTTCAATACCCTTGCCTAGCTTTGAGTTTTGGAGCCTATTGCATGCTTATGTTGAGGTGTTTCCATGTTTTGGGACCATTGTGCATCATATTTCAGAACTTACATGTGTACCATATTCCCATGTTTTCCACTCTTTAAATGCGTTTGAGAGTCGTGCTTGTATGCCTCGTTTTTGGACCTTTGCATGAGCTTCATTTCTATGCATTTTGAGCCATCATTTTAGACCATTTTTCCATTGTTTTGGAGGTCGCCTAGGGACTGTTTGGGGCTGGTTGG